AGCAATGTCGACAGTGAGACTAGACATGGAGATTGCTCATCAGGATGTGGGCAGCCAATCTCAGCTAAGTTCTATGCATGCATCGACTGTGAGTTTTTCCTTCATAAATCATGTTCTGAGCTACCACTGGAGATCGCTCACCCCTTTCATGATAATCATCCTCTCACTCTTTTAGCCAAAATACCAAACAGGAAAGAGATCGCATGTTGTGATTTTTGTGGTAATAAAGTCAATGGATTTGTTTACCAGTGTTCTCCTTGTGAATTTGACCTTGACATCAAATGTGCCTTGCTCCCACAATTCCTCAATGGAGATTTTCCAAAAGTTGATCATCACATTCATGTTGAACACCCACTCTTCTTCATCGAAAATCTTAGCCATGAAGTTAAACTAGCTTCTTACCACAATTGCTGTGTTTGCCTAGAACAGTTATCAGATGCTTCCTTTTACACTTGTGTTGTTTGTAAGCTTTTCCTTCATAAATCATGTTCTGAGACTGAGCTACCATTGTACATCAATCACCCCTTCCATGAGAAGCACACTCTTACTCTTACTCTTCCTCTTCCTAAATGGGATAGGGAATCATTTTGTCAATTTTGTCATGATCAACCATTCTCCTACTCTAGAGGATTTTTTTACCACTGTTCTTCTTGTCGTTTCAACCTTCACATCAAATGTGCCTTTGTCCCACAAGTCGTCATTGAAAATTTCCCAAAACGTGATCAACATTTTAGTGATGTTGATGAACACCCACTCTTCTTCATCAGAAAGGACCTTATTAGCAACAGCAAAGAAGTTAAACGGTGTTCTAATTGCTTTGTTTGCAAAGAATCATTATCAGGTAGTTCTTTTTACTACTGTCCCGACTGTGAATTTTTCGTTAATAAATCATGTGCTTTTAAAGAGCTATCTTTGAAAATTAATCACTCTCTCCATGATAAACATGCTATTAGACTAACCGAAAAAGATTCTTACAGCAAGCATGTAACTTTTGTCTTAATGACATCGAGGGATCTAGGTATAGCTGTTCTTCTTGTGAGTTCCATCTTGGTCCCGGATGTGCTTTGCTCATCACCAAAGATCTCCCAAAATGTGATGATCATTTTAGCCATGTTGAGCACTGTTGGGATAGGCCCAGTCCGACACCCAAACAGGGCTGGGCTATGCATAACGGGCCTAGGTTACCACATATTAGCCCAAGCTGAAGGAGCATCAGTACAAGCATACCCACGTGACCAGCGCCACGTGGGCCAATGGGGTGCTCACACATGCAGAAATATGTCAGCACCAAGGGGCTATAAATACCCCCCAACTACCTCCGATGAAGGTAATTAATCTCTACGCTTCTCTCTCTGCAATTACTCCTTGAGAGCATCTCTCTCTAGAATATTGAGTATTGTTGACTTGAGCGTTGGAGTGTATTCCCCGAGGAAACATCCTCGGGATTTTCAGGTGTAGAAGCAACTGAAGACTTCAACAGTGTTGGATTGTGAAGCTGCCGAAACATTGGCGCCGTCTGTGGGAACTCGAACAAAAAGTTGTGTGACTTAACCTGCTGAAAGGCAAAATGGTCCGTACCTTTACAGGAGGTCGCCCTCCAAGAAATGAAGTGGACGAACAGGAGGATACTCACGTATCTGAGCCCGGCCTAAATGACTTTAGACCAATGCCAAGAAATCTTTTTGTAGGAGGAGCCGAACAGGATCACTTAAGTGAAACGGATGATGATGAAAGAACACCAACGGGGTATGCAACCCAGCCTGAACACTTCCAGGTTCCAACAGGAACAAGATCAAGACCTTCTAGACCATACAATTCACAGCGTGAACGGCCTGAAAGGTCGATAGACCCTACTCGGACAACCGAGCTCGAAGAGAGGACCAGAATTCTCGAAATGGCAATGGGTAAAATCCTTGCCCGGCTAATTCCTGATGACCCCCTGATTCCTTTGCTGAACAGGGATGCACAACCAGCTGCGGCTGTTGCAACTAGAAACTCCCCCGCTCTTAGCAATATAGTAGTGCCGACCAGGCCTAAGGGAAGTGGGAAGTTGCATATCGAGCCCAGCTCGTCTAAATATAGTGAAGAATTGATGAGAAAAAACGCAGACCTTGAAAGGCAGCTGCGGGATGTACAGAAATCCATTGACGAGCTGAAAAGCCCCAGGTCACACCAACAGACCTTGGATTTGGATAGTGCTCCGCTGAACCTATCCATCACAACAGAACCATATCAAGAGGGATTCAAAATTCCCCACCTAGAGACATATGATGGCACGAAAGACCCGGATGAACATCTACACACCTATCAAGCCATCATGAGGATTCAAAACGCCAATGATGCTATGATGTGCAAAGTGTTCCCGGCGACACTAAAATCAACAGCCAGAAGATGGTATCACAAACTCCCCAAACATTCAATAGATTCATTTTCCCAGCTCGCCAAGCTGTTTTCTAACAAATTTGCGAGCCAAAGGGAGATCAAGCGCACAGCAACTGAGTTGATGCAGGTTAACCAGAAGGAGGGGGAGTCTTTGAGGGATTACATGCAGCGGTTCAACAAAGCCACATTGGACATTGATAATGTCCCAGACACAATCTGCCTGTCCGCCCTGTTGCATGGGTTGAAGTGTGGCCGGTTCCTAGATGACCTGCTTGAAAACCCACCGAAGACGTGGAACGAGGTGAATGACAGGTCGGCCAGCTTCATACTGTCAGAGGACTTTCAGTCGTCCAAGCGACGAGCTGATGATAAGCCGAGCAAAGGCCAGGAATAGCAACCGAGAAGAGAAGAGAAGAAGAAGCAGAAGGTCGGTGAACAATGGGGGAAACCAGCTGAGTTCCCGAAATATGCCAATTACATTCCTTTAACCTTACCTAGGTCTCAAATCCTGGCACAAATTCAGCACTGGGTTAGGAGACCTCCACCCCCACTACATGATTCCCCGAGGGCATATAAGAGCAAGCATTGTGACTACCACCGTGTATATGGTCACAATACAAAGGACTGCCAACACTTGAAAGACGAGTTAGAGTTTTTGGCTCGTAACGGGAAGCTAGAAGGGTATGTTCAGAAGCCTCACACCCAGCAACCCATTCAAACCCATTTTGTACAGGCGTACAACCGACCTCAAGGACAGAGGTACCAGCATGGAGGGACGCAGGATGCATATCAGGATAACCAGTATCCCTCGGAACAAGGCAGAGCATACCGAGGACGTCCTTTCAACAGGAGAGGGCAGGGACCGAGAACTACCGCCCCGAATCAAAAAGACAGGAAAGGGGTAGGTTATGCTGGGATACCCCCACCTTCTGGTACAATAAACATGATATCGGGTGGTGTTCACTCAGGGGGCCAGAGCGCCCGAGCTTGCAAGGCATATGCCCGACAGGTGATGACCGTCAACAAAAATAGACCCTTGAAACGGCCGTTTGAGGAAGCAGAATGGGAAAATACGCCCATCACATTCAGCCCGGCAGATTACAAGCGAGCAGAAGGAGAGTCTGACATTATGATGCCCCATGTAGATCCCTTTACGGCAACAGTTCATATAGGCAATCATAATGTCAATAAGGTGTTTATTGACACTGGCAGTTCACCAGATATCCTGTACTGGGGTTGCTTCCAGAAGATGCAGCTAAATCCGAGCTCGCTGCAGAAGCATGAAGGCTCAATATATGGATTCGATAACCAGCCCGTCCCGGTTGAGGTAGTTATTACTCTTCCTATATATGTGGGCTCAGAACCACGCTTCAGGATGGCTTCTGTCACCTTCCTGGTCGTTAAGATGGAATCAGCTTTCAATGCTATATTAGGAAGAGCCACCCTGTGCGAGCTGAAGGCTGTTATCTCACAGCCCCACCTCTGTATGAAGTTCCCAACTCCTCAAGGGGTAGGAGTGCTAAAAGGGAATCAGAAGATGGCTAGAGCCTGTTATCAAGACACGTTCAAGAAGGTCGAGCTCGCCGCAACCCCGGCGAGTGCGGAAGGTCGCAAGCCAACCCAACTCGCTCAACAGACAATGAGTATATCAGACATTGAGCATCGACCTGAGAGCGTTGAGCAGAAGGCAGAGCCAGTAGAGCCAGTGGAAACGGTGCCCTTAAACCCGAATGTGCCGGAGAGAACAGTGAAGATCGGCACTAAACTCACAGAAGAAGAGCGGGCAGGGCTTCTAGAATTCCTAAGGACTAATCAGGATGTATTTGCGTGGACTACGGATGAAATGCCTGGCATCTCGGCAGAATTGACAGTCCACAAGCTCAGCACAGACCCCACCAGAAGGCCGGTGGTGCAAAAGCGTCGCCTTTTTGGCCCGGAGAAGCAAGCTGCCATTGACGAGGAGATACGAAAACTGTTACAGGCAGGCTTCATCAGAAGAGTGGAATACTCTGAATGGGTCTCCAACCCTGTGCTCGTCAAAAAGCCAAACGGCAAATGGAGGATGTGCATTGATTTCACCAATCTCAATGACGCATGTCCAAAAGACCCTCACCCGTTGCCAAACGTAGAGAAGTTAGTAGAACGGGCAGCCGGACATGAAAGGATGAGTTTTCTTGATGCAAGCTCAGGTTACCACCAGGTCCAGTTGTTGCTAGACGACCAGGAAAAAACAGCTTTTTACGCTGGGGACGCAATTTACTGCTATGTCATGATACCGTTCGGCCTCAAAAATGCCGGAGCAACATACCAGAAGCTGGTGCAAATCATCTTTAAGCTCCAGATCGGCAGGAACATAGAAGTGTATGTAGATGACATGATAGTCACCAGCGTGCGAGCTGAGGATCACATTGGCGACCTAGACGAAACTTTTCAAAATTTGCGCCGAGCACAAATGAAGCTGAATCCTTTGAAATGCACATTTGCTGTAGAATCGGGAAAATTCCTAGGATACGTGGTATCCAAGAAAGGAATTGAGGTAAATCTAGAAAAGGTTGAGGCCGTTCAGCAAATGGAGCCACCAAGGACTGTCAAAGACGTACAGCGTTTGACGGGCCGTGTTGCTCCGTTGCACAGGTTTATAGCCATATCGGCAGAAAGGTGTCTTCCATTTTTCAAAGCTCTACGGGAGCCGAAGAACTTCCAATGGACTCATGAATGTCAACAGGCATTTGACGAGCTCAAACGATATTTGGCATCCGCACCTCTGCTGTCCAAGCCTGTCGATGGAGAATGTTTATACCTTTATCTGGGGGTCACAGAAGAAGCAGTGAGTTCAGTACTACTGAGGGAAGAAAATAAACATCAGAAGCCTATCTGCTACGTGAGCAAGGTGTTACAAGGTGCCGAGCAGAACTACCCGCTAGCAGAAAAGGCTGCTTTTGCTTTGGTTTGTACGGCTCGTAAGCTGAGAGCTTATTTCCAGTCTCATCAGATTGTCGTTTATACTGATTTCCCACTAAGGAAAATATTGCAGAAGCCAAAGCTCTCCGGTCGGCTCATCGGATGGAGTGTCGAATTGAGTGAGTATGACCTTAAATTCCAGCCGCGCATGACTATAAAAGGCCAAGCTGTGGCAGACTTCCTAGTTGAATGTGCCCCGGCGGCTGTGAAAGAAAAGGCACCTGAATACCCAGTTTGGGTTTTGTATGTAGATGGAGCTGCTAATGCCGAAGGATCAGGTGCTGGAGCTCTGTTACTGGGCCCTGATGGCTTTAAGTCTGAGCACGCACTGAGGTTTAAGTTTCAGACAACCAATAATGCTGCAGAATATGAAGCCCTCGTTTACGGACTGAAGCTGGCGGCCGAGCTGAAGGTACAAAGCATTCAGGTCTTCAGCGACTCTCAGCTTGTTGTCGCCCAGGTGAATGGCTGTTGCGACATCAGGGATCCCCAGCTCAGTCGTTATGCCTCTGTGGTCAACAGATTGAAGTCAGGGTTTGCTTCATTTCAGATCGACAAAATACCACGGGCAGATAACCACCGAGCTGACGAGCTGTCGAAGTTGGCCTCCTCGCAGGACATTAACCCTCAGAGATCAACAATCGTTGAGGTGCTCGACGCACCAAGCTACACTGATTTTACAGTCGACTGTCAACTACTCAGTACAGATCCCTCTACACCGAGCTGGACTACCCCACTCATAAATTATCTGCAAAGCGGCGAGCTGCCTGAAGATCTATCCGCTGCGAAATGGGTTAAACGCAGGGCGGCACATTTCACTTTGTTAGATAACCAGCTCTACAAACGAGCAGCCTCAATGCCCCTCTTACGCTGCCTTACTCCTTACGAAGCTGAATACGTTGTGAGAGAAGTGCACGAAGAAGTATGTGGCACGCACATCGGTGGCAAAACTTTAGCTCGGAAACTCCTGAGGCATGGTTATTACTGGCCCACTATGGTCGACGACGCGCAGAACTATGTCAAAAAATGTCCGACCTGCCAGTTCAATGCTGATGATATACACATGCCAGGTACCTGAGCCTATTCTAAAGAACATGCAAACTCCGTGTTTGTCTCTAAACTAAGCATAAGTATCTCTCTTGAAACAGGGGAAACGCTATCATCTCTTACGTCTCCCTGGCCCTTTGCTCAATGGGGTGTCGACCTGCTCGGCCCTTTTATCAAAGGCAAAGGAGGCTGTACTTTCCTGGTCGTTGCCGTGGACTACTTCACTAAGTGGATAGAAGCTAAACCACTGTCCACGACAACAGAAAGAAAAATAGAAGAATTCTTGTTCAATTCAATATTGTGCAGGTATTCTTTGGTGATCGAGGTCATAAAATATATGCAAATGCGATTTGTAGCTCAGCTCGCTAATCTGTGTGCAGGTTCGGCATACCTAAGCGAATTATCGCCGACAATGGGCCACAGTTCCGAGCAGCAGCACTGAGATCGTTTTGTGACGACTATGGCATTGAGCTCGCTTTGACGTCCGTGTATACTCCACAATCCAACAGGCAAGCCGAGTCCGCCAATAAAATCGTCTTGCGGGGACTCAAGACGCGTGTTTTGGCTGCGCATTCTAATTGGGTTGACGAGCTCAATAAAGTGCTTTGGTCTTGTCGCACCACGCCCAGCTCGGCCACAGGCGAAACCCCTTTCAGCCTGGCTTATGGAGCTGAGGCCGTCATCCCAGTAGAGGTTGGATTACCATCTGAACGAGCAGGCCGGCATGACGATCTCAACAATGAGCAACTGTTGAGAGAAAACCTAGACTTCGTGGAAGAGGTCAGGGAGATGTCTAGAATAAGAAACATGGCGCATCAAAGTCGTGTTGCAAAATTTTACAATAAAAGGGTTCGAGCTAGCCAGTTTCAAGTCGGCAACCTGGTTCTACGCAAAGCTGGATTGACAAACACTTACTCGCACATGGGCAAGCTCGCTCCTAATTGGGAAGGCCCCTATGTGGTGGTTCAAATTAAACGACCTGGGTCTTACGTGTTAGCAAATATACAAGGATGTCAGTTGCCTTACATTTGGAACATACACAATCTTAGAAAGTTTTACAGTTAATAAGTGCTCTGCCGTTTTATTCACACTGTTATCCAGCAATTGTAAATGACAATGTACAGAAACTGCGAATGAGAATACAACAATTTCAAAAGGAAATTCATATTTGCATTTCATCAAAGTTTTTACATTTGACATACATCGGGGATAGATCCTTTGATCAAATACCAAAAATACAAAAGCAAAGTACAAAAAATCAAAAGAAACAACCCTAAATCTAGTCATCCGTCAGATCGACGGGCATGGATGCGTCCGTAGCAGCTGCAGGAGAGCGAGCAGGAGGGGATTCGGCTGCGAGCTCGGAGGCTGGCGCGCTAACGGGTGAGCTGGCTGGCACAGCAGCGGGCTGAGAGTTGGGTGGGGTGCTTGAAGGCTCCTGCTCAGCTACAGGAGCACCCTCTACCCATGCATCAAATGAGGGCAATCCTGCTGGGTCCTCCCCGTCCTCCAAAATGGACGGTGGCCAGACGGGAACGCCCTCCTCGTTCAAATCCCATCTCAGCCTCACAGTTGTATCAGCGAGGGGAGCAAGGCTCTTACCCTGCTCGTCTAGCTCCCCCTCGTCAAAGAAGACCAGCTCACGTATTGGAAAATCCGGGCAGTGTTGCAGTACTTTCCCACGGATCTCGTTGTAGATCTCCGTGGTTACATTTGCCGACGCGACCGCCACGGCGTCCTGAAACGCAGCAGAGCCAACGAACCATTCTGCCCCTTGAGCCCGGGCGATGACAACAGAATAGGCATGGGAAGCCTTCAGCTCGTTCAGCGCTTCCCCGGCAGCTGCAAGGTTTCGGTCCGCCTCGGCGACTTGGTGCCTAAGGGAGCTCAGCTCGTGCTGAGCATGATCCCTGTCGGCCTCAGCCTTCTTCGCCCTCTCCTCAACCCTGGCGGCCTCATCCTTTGCCGCCTGTATTCCGCTCTCTCTCTCAGCTCGAGCTCGCTCCAACTCCTCCCTGAGCTCGTTGTTCTTATTGGCGAGCTCATCCGCCTGGCTCTCTGCAGCCGCAGCTCGGTTCGCCATTTCAGAGCCTTGCAGACGATTCACATCGTCCACAAGGCTGGCCTTCTCAACAGCCAGTTGCTTGCACTTGGAACCGAGCTCGCTGTTCTGTGTACGAGCCGCCTGCTCACTCTCGTACATAGCCACAGCATAGCTGAATGCCTGCCAAACAACAACAATCGTAAGTACCCAGTAAGGAAAAGTAAAACACTTAAACAGATATGAGCAGATACTTACATCCATAAGTTTTATCATGGCGACCTGGCCGCCATGCTGCTGCACAAAAGCTTTGGCCCGCTTGTTATCCATAGGGGGCACAAAGTTGTGCATGGCTTGCACCATGGCGGGCTGACACTCTGCCCGCACATAGCTGAAGCCCTCAGGATAAGCAATCCTGGGGCCGGATGTCGAGGCCGATGCAGAGGCGGGCTCCACTGCTGCCCGCACAGTCGCTGACGGTGCGGTCGGTGAACGCACGGTCACAGGACGAGCCGCCTGTGCGGGCTGAGTCCCCCCGCTTCTTATGCGCCTAGCAAGGGGGACCTCATCCTCCTCACTCTCGGTCTCCTCGCGTGCGCGTCTGCGCGCGCCCGGAGCTGCAACCTCAGAGCTGTGACCCGCTCGCGGCCTTGACGACGAGCTGGATCCCCTGTGTGATGAGCCACGTGATTGAGGCGCTTGGGGTGGCCGCTCGTCAAACCGTGTTTGCCGGGGTTGCGCGCTGCTCGCTCCACGGCCTCGGGAGCTCTGGGCACGTTGACGCTGACGTTCCAGTATGCTGCTCATTTCACCTGCACAAACAAATGCATAAGCCTCAGCTCGGCTAAAATCTACGTTATGTGATGAAAATATACCTTCGCTAAACAGGTTTGTCACATCGACAAACCCGAACACGGCGAGCTGCTCTGAGGTAACTAGGGCTTCTAGATCTATAAGACCCTATCTCTGCGCATACTCAAGCAGCTGGTTCTTCAGATCGACATCCCAGGGCAGCAGCTGAGGGTAGTTGATATGAGCATTGGGCGTGCGCCATTCTGACAGCCGGGCAGCGAGGTCGTTGCTTATCCTCTCTGTTCGCGTGTCGCGAACAAATATGAACTGCCTCTTCCACCTCACTACTTTGTTCCGGACATTCTTGAACAGCTGGCTTTTGTCTCTCCTGGAGAGGTAGTACCACTTCGCGCCTCGAGAGTTGGGACACAGCCGGCATTGAAACAGCGACCTGAACACGATCGCCTTGGCCGGTACCTCTAAACGCTCACACAGCAGCATAAAGCCAATAATGAACCTTATGCTGTTGGGTGTCAGCTGCGTCAGCGCCAGCTCGTAATCTGCCAGCAGGTCGAACACCAATCCGGGCAAGGGAAACTGCAGGCCGGCGTCGAAGTGGTCCACATACACTGGGATCCAGCCCGTTGGTGACACTGTGCACGCCCTTTCGTTCTGCCCGCCAGTTCGCAGCAATATGGTCCTGGGGATGTGGTACGCCCTCACCATCTCCTCGAGTCTTTTATACCCACTTATGGAGGGCGCACAATCTGCTACTTCGTGATGAAGTACAGCCTTGAACCTGAAGCCAGCGGGCAGGTCCTTTGGTGCTTTTCGTAGGTTACTCAACCTGCCCGGGATTGTCGCGCCTTCCCATTCCCCAACCACCAGCCGATCTGAGACGCTGCTCACCACATCCCCCATCCCTTCTTCACGGCTAGGTGTCTCTTCAGTAGATGAGCTGCTAGACGGCGAAGTAGGGTGGTCGCCACCATCATCCCTGGCGCTCGAACTGGCGCTTCTCTCAGGCGCCATTGTCTCCGGCGAGTCCTGCAACTCAGGCGGCACTATCATCGTGATAGGCTCCACTGACAAAACCCCTCCCTCTTCTCTCTCTCTGCCTTGGTTACCTCGTTGCTCTGTGAGTTCTCTCAATGAAACCATTTTTACCTGAAACTGATGTGAAGTTGACTCGATGTGCTGATTCTTCAAGCTGGAGCGTTTTTGCTTCAAAGAGTTTTGGAAAGTTTAGGCAAACACACAAGTGAAAATGAAAGAGGAAACGGTTACGCGGAGAAGGATATGGTAGTGTTAATTGCCGTACGCGTGTTTCTGACGCGCCAATTCGCGTCATACACGTGGCACACGCTTAACGTCCCTTCTGCATAACGTGCGCCGGCTTTAGCTGTCACGTCCCTCAAAGGCTGAGCTAGCATTTATGACGGGGAAGACAGAGGGATACGGGGAGATCAATCGTATCTCCTCAGAGATTTGCCTAATTCAAAAAATCCAAAGGTTCAGATCGTAACTGCTGATCTGTGCCCTATACTGTCACGTCAGCTCGCCATTGCGAGCACACTTACCAGGTCGTCACAAAGATGACATATTCGCCAGATCGGCTTAACAGTGACAATTCGTTCAACAGTGTAGATCTTTTGTTAAAATCCCCCAAGATTCAGCTCGTCACACACACGAAGGCCGCAAACCTTTGCATAAATCAAGGGGTGCCCCAGGTCGCCCTATTTGGCAGCACCACTCGTGCGGGCTGATAAAGTGGTGGTCAAAAAACTCAAGTCGTACTGAATGTGAGGTCGTGTCGCCTCACTCCGTTGTCTTAACTGACTGAGCGTCACCTGGTCGCACTTCGGTAGTACTCAAAAGCCAGGTCGTCACATGGACGGGCTGAGCGGGCGTTGCATCACATGCAAGCTCGTCTGTTGTGAATCACTTCAGCTCGCTGCCATAACAAGCCCACACTAATGCGGCTATTAGACCTGGCAAACGGGCGGGTTGGGTCGGGTTAGGGTCGGGTCAACTCGGGTGACGGGTTAGACGGGTTGGGTTATAAACGGGTTGCGGGTTGAAAACATCCAACCCTAACCCGACCCTAACGGGTTACGGGTTAACCCGCG